TTTTTTTTTTTTCTTGGTGTATATACCTCACAACAGATAGTCATAAAAATTTTTGCTTAAATATTTAGAAAGTAATTAAGTTCATTTTCAAAAACTTAGAAAGTACGTTGCAATTTTAAAAATAAACTTCACCCACCATTCCACAACCTAGAGGGATCTACTTTAAAATTTTGTTTTTGAGCCAGGTGTAGTGGCTCGTTTGTAATCCCAGCAATTTGGATGGTCAAGGTTGGAGGATTGCTTGAGCCCAGGAGTTTGAGACCAGGCTGGGCAACATAGTGAGACCTTGTCTCAAAGAAAGAAAGAGAGAGACAGAGAGAGGGGGAGGGAGGGAAGGGAAGAAGAAGAAGGAGGAGGAGGAGGAGAGGAGAGAGAAAGGACAGACAGATGGAAGACGGGAAGGGCAGGAGTGGTGGTATGTGCCTGTAGTCCCAGCTACTCGGGAGGCTGAGGCAGGAGAATTGTTTGGGCCTAGAAGTTATGGTGAGCTACAGCTGTGCCACTGGACTTCATCCTGGGTGACAGAGTGAGACCCTGTCTAAGAAAAAACCAATTTTGTTTTTGTTTAATTGTATTGGTATTTTTTTGATGTATACTCATGTATGAACATAATTGGGATAATTCCTGCTAATTTTACTTAACATTATGTTTTGAGTTTTTTCCACATCAGTAAATATTTTGGGTAAAAAAAATATTTAATTGCTATGTCACTTATTCATGCAACAAATATTTCTTAAACAGCTATTGTGTGCCAGATCTTACTTTAGGCATGGGATACAGCAGTGACCACAACAATGTCCTTACTCTCATGGAGTTTACATTCAGCAGGATTAGGCTAATAAACAAACTAGCAAAAGAATATAAGCGTAATCAAATAATAAGTCTCATGAAGAATAAAGATATTCTATATTGTCTTGTTTTTTAGTAAAGTCTTCCTAATTTACCTCCTTTAAAGGAGTATATGAGTGTCTATCATTTTATTATGTCATCAGTGAATATGATCATTGAAAAATTTGTTTTGGTCAATCATGATAGTTCTTTGTAATTTGCATGTCTTTGAGTATTCATGAAGTTGAACGTTTTTCCATAGCCGCGTGCATTGCCCCTTGATTGAGTTTTCCATGCATGTTTTCTGTTTCTCTTCCTATTGAGGACCTGGTGTTTTCTTCACTTTTGAACTAGCCCTTTCTATTATTAATGTGTTTTGGGGACACTTATATTATGATGGAGAGACAAATGTATACTCTTAAACAGTGGCAAAGTCAGGCTGTAAGGAGTTAGAAAAACCCGAGGAAGCCTGGAATTCCCTTCCTTTCTTTCTGCCCCTCCCTCTTCCATTACAATGAGGAAAAAGTGATCAGAGAGAGAAGTATAGTTTAGGTAGAAATATGTGAAGGAAGAAAGGAAGGTGGACGTGTGGGTGGGTGAGAAGATGAAGATGATGAGAATAGAAGGGAGAAGATGAGCTGAGGCCAGAGGAGAATTGGAAGGGGTAAAAAGGAGTGACTGGGGAAAAAAGAGTGAGAGAGGAATAAAGAATGGAAGTCAGAGTAATAGGGACATTATGTGATGACCATGGATAAATTATATATTTTTTTCTTTTTCTGCTTCTACTAACCTAGAAAATCTCTAGAAGATGATGGTGTTCTTTAAAACACTTCGAAATCATTGGAAGAAAACTACAGCTGGGCTTTGCCTGCTGACCTGGGGAGGCCATTGGCTCTATGGAAAACACTGGTAACTATCTGACAGCCCTACCCCACCTTTGCACCTGCAGCAAAACTGCCCAATAGGGCCTCAGGTTAAAACCTTGTTCAGCTGTGCTTATCTCTATGAAACTTGCGGTGTAAAGGAAAAATAAATGCTATTCAAAGCAGAAACAAAGACTTCTTGTAACCAGAGCTGGAACTGCATGTATACTCATATCCAGTGGATAGAGATTAAAGTAGTGAGATCAGAAAGGAAGCTATTTTTATTCATTTTATTTGTAGTTGAAGAAATTAAGACATCCTAGAGAAAGATAAGTCCTTTCCCCAGTTAGTAGTGTGAACCCCCACAATAATTGACTGGTCTCAGTCAATTATTAAGTTTATTTTGCCAAAGTTAAGGACACGAGCCTGTGACACAGCCTCAGGAGGTCCTGACAACATGGGCCCAAGGTGGTCGGGCACAGCTTGGTTTTCTACATTTTAGGGAGCTAGGAGACATCAATGAATATATGTACGATGAACACCGGTTTGGGTCTGGAAAGGTGGGACAGCTTGAAACAAAGGCTAGACAACTGGGAGTTGGGAGGGAGCCTCCAGGTTATCTACCCATGACCATTCTGAGTAGCCCCTCCGAAGCAGGCAAGCGGATACGCATTTATCTCAGTAAGCAGAGGGATGACTTCCAATAGAATGGGAGGTGGCCTGGTGCAGTGGTTCATGCCTATAATCCCAGCACTTTGGGAGGCCAAGGCAGGTGGATCATTTGAGGTCAGGAGTTCAGGACCAGCCTGGCCAACATGGTGAAACCCTGTCTCTACTAAAAATACAAAAATTAACCAGGTTCTGTAATAGTGGCGTGCACCTGTAATCCCTGCTACTCAGGAGGCTGAGGCAGGAGAATTGCTTATGCCTGGGAGGCAGAGGTTGCCATGAGCTGAGATTGCGCCACTGCACTCCAGTCTGGGTGAGAGAGTGAGACCCTGGCTCAAAAAAAAAAAACAAAAAGAATGGGAGGCAGGTTTGCCCCAAGAGGTTCCCAGCTTAACTTTTTTCTTTAGCTTAGTGATTTTGGGGCACCAAGATTTATTTTCCTTTCACAGTAGTAAGCAGGGACTGGAACCCTCATGCCTCCCTGGGATTTTATTCCTTCCATTTCTTGCTATAGTCTCTTGATCTGTCATTGAGGGACTCTTACTGAATTTGCCTCCTCCATCCCCTGTGACTATTGTCGTCTATCCCATTAGCCTACCTTAATTTAAATGAAAAGTAGACTTTCAAACCTTTTGTTTAAATAAAGAATTCGAAGGAGTCATCGTTTTTATTAGTCTTCATGCATGGAGGGAGAAGAACGTGCCAGAACTCCTCTTCTGGTTCAATATGGTAATAAGACTTAAATAAACAGAGAAGTTTTTGTATAAAAGTATACAAATTATGAAGACAGCCAATCAAATTGCAGTCTTTTGGAGACTAAGGACTACATTTTAAGTATGTAGCAACACTGAAATCCAGATGTCTTAAATGACTGCTTGTTGAACAGAAAACAGAACAGTTACTCTTTGCATTAGAAGTCTCCTCATTGGAAAAGAGATTCATATTGATATTTTGTGAACACTTTCAATTCACCACTGTGAGAATAACTTTATGATACACTGTGAGAATAACTTTATGACATCAACATGATGTCTGCTTTTTTTTGCAGCTGTGGTAAAATTGGAATATATTCCCCTTCTTTTCTAAGTATTGTCAAGGCCAAGCACTCAAATTCCGTTAGCCAGCATCTAAGGAAAAGAGCAGACATAAGAAGCTTAAAATTTGTAATTAAAAAAAGAAAAGGATGGAGCAGATATTTAAACAAAGGGAGCGTGAAATGTTTGGCTGCTTCTTTTTCTAACTACACTTGAGTCCTCAAGGAAAGGCTAGGATAGCCCCTTTGCAGGAGCATTCAATCTAGGCCATGGCGAGGTCAGACGGGGGGAATTCCCACCCACTGAGGATTACTGCTGTTTCTGCGACTAGGTGAAGATTTGAAGAACTGTGTGCTCTGTTCAGGATGTCTTTAGAGAAACCATAGTAAGTTCTTGCCCATATAGTCTTGAGACTTTAAAAAAGGACCATTAAGTCTTCAGGACTAACGGAGGCCTCGTTCTAAATTGGATCTGAAACAGCTTGAACCAGAAGTGTGGGGACAGCCTGGAGGACACATTATACTCTGTTTCCACCCTTGTCATTCAAGGTTACTGCCCCAGATGCAAACTCCCATTGTCCTACTGCTCTTCTTTTTCTCAGACTGTTCTCTTGCATGAGTTGGTACTGTTTAGGCTTTTTTTAAAATTGTGTTAAAAAAGCAGAGGACACAAACATTTTCACCTTAACCATTTGTAGATCTACAGTTGGATAGTGTTAAGTGTATTCACACTGTTGTTCAACAGATCTCTAGAATGTTTTCATCCTGCAAAACTGAAACTCTGTACCTGTTGAACAACTGCCCATTTTCTCTTCCCCTCTGCCCTTGACAACCACCATTCTGCTTTCTGTTTCTAGGAGTTTGATCACTTTATACTTTAAGTGAGTCATATAGTATTTGTCTTTTTGTGGTTGGCTTACATAACTTATAATGTCCATAATGTTTAAATTATCTTTACCTTTTTTTTTTTTTTTTTTTGAGACAGAGGCCTGCTCTGTTGCCCAGGTTGGAGTACAGTGATGTGATCTTGGCTTACTGCAACCTCTGCCTCCTGGGTTCAAGTGATTCTTCTGCTTCAGCCTCCTGAGCAGCTGGGACTACAGGCGCGTACACGATGCCCGGCTAATTTTTGTATTTTTAGTAGGGATAGGGTTTCGCTGTGTTGGCCAGGCTGGTCTCAAACTCCTGACCTCAGGTGATCCGCCTGCCTTGGCCTCCCAAAGTATTGGGATTACAGGTGTGAGCCACTGTGCCCAGCCTATGTTATCTTTAAATGTAAAGATGTATTCTTTACATTTAAAGGGGTATGGCCTTTATATCTGTCAATGGACATTTTGGTTGCTTTTACCTCTTGACTATTGTGAATCATGCTATAATTAACTTGAGTGTGCAGATACCTCTTGGAGATCCTGTTTTCAATTATTTTGGATATATGCCCAGAAGTGGAATTGTAGATCATATGGTAGTTCTATTTTTAATTTTTTGAAGAGACTTCGTACTGTTTTCCATTGTGGCTGCATCATTTTACAATCCCACCAACAGTGTACAAGGTTTTCAATTTCTCCACACCCTCATCAACACTTGTTACTTTCTGTTTCTTTGATATGGGCCATCCTTATGAGTGTGAGGTGATATGTCATTGTGGTTTTGGTTTGCATTTCTCTAATGATTGAGGAAGTCGAGCGTCTTTTCACATGCATGTTGATCATTTAAAAATCTTTGGAGAAATGTCTGTTCAAGTCGTTTTTCCATTTTTAATTGAGTTTTTGTTGTTGTTTTGGCTTGTAGGAGTTCTTTATAGATTCCAGATACAAATCCGTTGTGAGATATAGAATTTGCAATATATTGTGTCCTATTCCGTAGTTGGCCTCTTTTTTGATTTTGTCCTTTGATATATACTGTTTTTAGTTTGGTTAAGTTCTATTTGTCTGCTTTTGCTTTTGTTTGCCTCTGCTTTTGGTGTTATATTCAAGAAACCATTGCTAAATCCAGAGTCCTGAAGCTTTTCCCTGTTTTCTTCCAGGAGTTTTATGTTAGGCCTTACATTTAGATCTTTAACAGATTTTGAGTTAAGTTTTTTATATGCTATAAGATAGGGGTTCAGCTTCATTATTTTCCATATGGATATCTAGTTTTACCAATATCATTTATTGAAGAGACTATCCTTTCCCCATTGTGTGGTCTTGGCCTCCTTGTTGAAGATCATTTGACCATATAGATGTGGATTTATTTGTGGGCTCTCTGTTGTTGGTCTATATATCTGTATTTATGCCAGTACCACACTGTTTTGATTACTGTTGCTTTGTAATATATTTTAAATTCAGTAAGTATGAGGCTTCCATCCTTGTTCTTTTTCAAGATTGTTTTGGTTATTTGGGGATTTCTTGGGATTCCATATGATTTTGGGGATAGCTTTTTTCTATTTTTGCAACGAATGCCATTGGGATTGCATTGAATCTGTACATTGCTTTGTAGAATAGACATTTTAACAATATTGAGTCTTCTAATTTATGAACATGGGGTGCCTTTTTATTTAATTGTCCTCTTTAATTTTTTCAGCTGTTTTTTTTTTTTTTCAGCTGTGTTTTATAGTTTTTAGTGTATAAGTGTTTTTGTTTGTTTGTTTTGCTTTTTGATGGAGTCTTGCTCTTGTTGCCCAGGCTGGAGCACAGTGGCGGGATCTGGGCTCACTGCAACCTCCACCACACAGGTTTAAGCAATTCTCCTGCCTTAGCTTCCTGAGCAGCTGGGACTACAGACATGCGCCACCATGCCCAGCTAATTTTTTGTATTTTTAGTAGAGATGGGTTTTCACCATAAATTGGCCAGGGTGGTCTCGATCTCTTGACCTTGTGATCTGCCTGCCTCAGCCTCCCAAAGTGCTGGGATTACAGGTGTGATCCACCACGCCCAGCCTAGTGTATAAGTCTTTTACCTACTTGCTTAAGTTTATTACTAAGTATTTTATTATTTTGACACAATTGTTAATGGGATTGTGTTCTTAATTTCCTTTTCAGATTGTTCATTGTTAGCATATAGAAATAAAACTGATTTTTGTGTGTTATGTATCCTGCAACTTTGCGAATTTATTAGTTCTAACAGGTTTTTTTTGTTTTTGTTTTTTTTTTTTTTTGGTGTAGAATCTTTAGGGTTTCTACATATAAGATCATGTCATCTGTGAACACAGATAATTTTACTTCTTCCTTTCCAATTTGGATGCCTTTATTTCTTTCTCTTACCTCATTGCTCTGGCTAGAACTTCCTGTGCTGGGCTGAGTAGAGTGGTGAGAGGACATCTTTGTCTTATTCCTGATCTTAGAAGAAAAACTTCCAGTATTTCAACA